GAAGAAGTGTATTCGTTTCATGTTTCATGCATTCGTATCGGCGTTTCCTAGCCAGCATATGCAGGGACTCTCTTATTAGCAGACTTAATTGTGAATGGTCTTTGTCTATGACAGACAAATTGGTCTGACTGAAAGTGACCTTCGGAGATGGCATGCTGGGCAGTGCCGGAACTGTCAACGTATCCACTGCGGTGCTCTTTAATCCGGATGTTCTACTTCCAGTAGGTCTTTCCAACGCACACCTTGCCATTGCATTCGTTGATTCATATTCTGGTCAAGCTGGTTTTTAAGTTTAATATTGAGTTTTTAAGCATGTGCCTATCGGAAAACAACGGCGATGTTCACTTGTTGGATATAAATGCCTTCAAGTCGTAATTTGTTCCCAGCCCAGCGCCCTGATGATGCCACTCTCTATGTAGCGAAGCGCGTTGGCAGCCTTTTTCCATCTGCTACGTTTGGTTTCAAGTTAATGCGAAGCGTATGTTCGTATCTCTTTATGTTTATCGTTCGTCGCAGATAGCTTTGCTGTATGGAGTTAAAGTGACATCCTTAAGTTCGTACTAACTCTGGAAGGTACACATAGTTTGGGATGATGGCGACTGTTGTGCAGTGCAAGCAGTTATCACGGTTATCCTGGCGTACTGTCGTCCGTTTTCGTTTCCATCGCATATGTGATAATAGCATCTGTTTAGCAGGCGGTTGCGAATATTTGTTAAGAACGAGCATCATCGAGGACTCGAAGATTCTGTGCCGAAGTGTGGCAAGGTTTTGAGGAACAGTGCAGAGCGGCGTCAGGCTTCCTTTTCTCTCTTACCGTCTTATCCATCGTTCCGCTTCCTTCCTGACAAGGTTTGTTCACGCTGAGTACGTTCGGCATTTTTGAACGCATTGCGAAAACGAATTGCGCCTAATCATTGTTGCCTATTGCCGACTGCTACTTGCGCTAATGCTAATCCCTCGATTTCGATCACGTCGTTTCGTTTCAAGGTCATAGTCCAAGGATAGACGCATATTTGTGTTTATGATAACGTCATATAGCCTGATATGTAATTGAGTTAAACGTAATTACTTGGATGCCGACGATTTTCGTCTCTTATTATCTGCTGGCTCATACGCCTTGGTTA